TTAGATACCTTTCTTTTCTTCTTAATATTTTCTTTATCAGTTTATACCCTCTCCCAACCCAGGTTCTCGTTTGTAAGTTAATTTAACGATTAGTGAACAAACTTGTAACAATATCATACAGTTCATAGTGTTCTCATGCAGTTTTATAAGTGATATACATGTATATCTCAGTAATATTAATGCCATAATTTTGGATTTCATCTAGCAATGGAGTGGTAAAACTAATAGCTGTGGTCTCCGAATCTCTTATATCTAAACACCAATGGAAGTCATGACTGTTGTATTCAGTGAGCAACTTGCACGCAGATTCAATGTGGTCATCATAACGTTGGAATAGTTTTTGGTTTGCTATAGACTTCCAGAAGTAAATACGCTTGGGTGAGTATTTCGATATATTGTATCTTTGACGTCGAAGGTGATTTTTTAAGTTCACTACAGTAAGATGCGAGTGTGTTTTGATCTCTTCCCGTAGTTTGTCAGGCATCTCAATGCAAAGGTTTGGACGCAGATGGAGAGATTTGTGATAGATATCCACTCTTGTAATATTAAGAATCATATCGACTCATACTATAATTTTACCTCTGCAATCATAACGCGTTCTTCGTTTGCGATTGGAATCTTTATATTCTTCACTCTGTGCCTCTTTCGATTGATAACATATGTAAAGGAAATGACCAACTGCATTTCCAAATTTTCTTGATATGTCTGCATTTTGAAAACTCCAATAATTATATATACCGAGTTAGCAATAATCTAACAAAATTTCACAATTCGATATTACTTACTTTCACGAATAGTCATCTCCATCTTCAACTTCAGTAATAATAAGATTAGCCATCTCCTTTGCTGTTTTGTTCTGAGTAATGGCAATGTATGAATGTACTAGTAAATGAATCTTATAAGATACATCAGCTATTTCATCAATAGATTCACCAACTGTCAGCTCTCAGATCTCATACTCGATTAAGTCCTCCATGTCAAGATAATCAACTTCGATCTGTGAAGCATCACTGATATGCTCTACCTTCGAGTTCGAGTGTTCTGTTGCAGCTACAGTGTGAATAATATCATTGACATTATTTTCTTTCTTATTAGACTCTTCCAATGTTTCCTCCGCAATTCTAGCTGGTGACATGCGCTCTTTATTCTTTTGGTCACAGATTTCTTTACACCTCTTGCATGTCTTGTGATGTAGGCCATCCCAAATGAATTGGTCATCAAAGCGATTGCATTTGCATCTAGTGCAGAACATCATTATTAACAGATCTGTTTGTGGTATGGGAATTTAGGTATTGAACAGATCTGTGCAGAGTTATGCGCTGCAACGCATCTCAGATCACGTGGTGATACTAATTCAGGAATAAGGTTACACATAAGACATTATTAAGTACTTGAGTTATCTTTATTAACCTTGATCAAACTTACTAATCTATGTCACATTTTATCTAAT